AACTTACGAGCATTGCATTCATCATCTCTTTTAAGGTATTATTTTTCTGTTCGACAACATCATTTTGTTGCGGTGAATAAGGGGCGGTGGTTTCATGTATGCTTTTTGTGCACAGAATTCAGTAAATAGTGCTTTATACTCACCACCTCGATCACTTTGCAGCACCTTAATTTTCTTATTAAGTTGATTCTCAACTTCATTCTTATAGAGAATAAATTTCTCTATAACTTCATCCTTGTTTTTAAGCAGATATACATAGCAGTATTTTGTGCTATCATCGACAAAAGTAATAAAATACTTGTTGACACCTCTTGTTTGTACAAGTTTTAGATCACACACATCACTGTGAACTAAATCTAGTGGTTCTGTGTTCCATTCAATTGATTTAAACGATGACCTTGTTAATCTTGTTTCAACACAAGTTTCACACTTATGTTTAGAATCGTTATTGAACTTAGGTATGCAATTAGAGTTAACTAGTTTTCGTAAAGTATCATAGTTAACATGTCCTAGTCTACCATGCTACAAATTGGAAGACTCAAGCAAATAAGCAGAAGAACTTGCTTTATTCATTTTTGGTTTCACAACCATTACATTGAGTTTAAACATACCGTCGGAAACATAACATTTTTCAACAAACATTCCACTTTTTGACAGAATGACTTTGTCTGACTCAAAAACAATGCGGAAACCATGCTTATTCAAAAGCGACCCGGACATTAAATTCTTGCGAATTTTCGGCATATAAAGCACGTTGTTGAGAGTCAGCCCCTTTCCCGAGGTCATCATCAGAACCACTTTTCCTTGACCCTTGATTTCAGAAGTTGCTGAATTTCCCATGAACAACTTCTCCCAGTTCTCAACAACTTCGAACGTATAAAATATCTCTTTATCAGAGCACACATGTCTTGTAATACCGGTGTCAATCCACCACTCTTTAGGGTTCGAACCCACCATGTTTAATTCAGAAATGACTACTGCCAAGATTCAGCTCCGACACATCTTGTGCCATGTAGTCAACAACGTTTGCTTCTTTCTTTTTCTTCGGTAATCTGCACTCCGAAGACTTGTGACCCACTTTGTCACAATTGAAACATTTCCCTTGGAATTTCTTCTTGACAATTCCACATGTCGGTCCTTGCTTAGTTCTTTTGCCACCGGATGGCTCAGACTTATTTTTGTAGTTCTTACTACTTTGACCAAGCTCCATAACATTGCCTTTGGCCACACTAGGATTGAACTAATTCTTATCGGAACTCTTGTTGTCTTCTTCAATTCAAAGTCTAACAACGAGTTCTTCGACGTTCATTTCCTTTCATTTGTGTTTCAAATAGTTATTGAAATCTTTCCACGCAGGGGGCAATTTTTCTATAATTGCAGCCATCTGAAAAGTTTCACTCAACATCATTTCTTCGGCAAGAATTTCGTGAAGAATCACTTGGAGTTCTTACACTTGACTGATAACAGTTTTGAAGTCCACCATCTTATAGTCTAGGAATTTGCCGACTATAAACTTTTTAGCCCCGACATCCTTAGTTTTGTATTTTCGGTCTAAGGACTTCCACAATTCCTTAGCAGTTTTCATGGTGCTATATACATTGTATCTGCTAGGCTATTCATGATATAATTTCGACACAGAAAGTCCGAATGCTTCTAAGCATCAAGTGCACTCAATGCTTGCACATCTCCCTCGCCCTCATTAAACTTTGGAGTAGTTTCAGTCAAGAATCTCGCAAGATTCAAGGTGGTCAAGTAAAAAAGTATTTTCTGCTGCCACCTTTTGAAATTCAAGCCATTGAATTTTTTTCGATTTTTCTCCATGATTAACCGGAACAATTATAGTTTGGCCAGTTTGGCTCACAACATGACTTGGCATTCTAGCCACAGTCTGAACCACAACGGAGCTTGGCCCTTGAGCCACATTAGAACCCATAGCCTGATTTCCAGCAGGAACATTTTGGGTCACATCCATGTTGTTCGATTCGGTTGCCATTTCTGAAAACAAACCAAATATTAGTTTCAAGAAACTACAATTCAATGAAACAAAAAAAAAACCGACTCTTGGTTTTGAAAATCAAATATTAGTTCCAAGTAACTAAAATTCAGTTAAACCAAAAATCAACTATTGTTTTCCGAATTTAGAAACTGTTTTAAGCTTATAGGAAAACAAGTCGCTAGTAGATGAAACCAATTGTATAAGTTTTATTCAATTGCAATAGCCGACTATTTAAACTAATAACCACAAGGCAAACGATTTCAATTTATAAAAAAAAAAAATTCCGTTTCAGAATTTTCCAACAGCTGGAAAAAAATATTTAGCAACACAAAATCAGAAATATAAGTTAACTGTAGGCTAAAACTGTAAACGATGAATCTGGAGGCTTCACATTATGAAACTACAAACTGCATGAATTAAATAGTAATGCGAAAATAATCTGTAGAAAGAAAATACAAATTGCAGCAGATTTCAAACCGAGGCCTGTGCGTGCACAGTTTCCTTAAAACAGTTTCGCCCCCTCACCGTAGGTGTTGGAAGTTCAGTTCGAGCGGCTATCTCTCAGGATACAACGGTAATAAGCAGAATCCGAGCATCGCGATCCTACTCTGACAAACTGATCTAGTATCCGAATAATATCACCGCAAGAACAAGACTTTACTGGACAAAGAATGCAGAAAAGAAGAAATTGTGTATGCAGGAATGTAGGTGAGATTTTTGAGTATGTTAGATTGCTGGAGAATGAGCCTTTTTATAGGTATATTGGCCATTAATATTGTGACCATTGGAAGTCCATTGGAGTTACTTTCCATTAACACTGTGACCATTGGGAGTCCATTGGAGTTCTTTCAGTTTAGAAACTCAAAAGTCATTGGAGAAAGCCAAAAAAAAAAAAAAAAAAAAAAAGCAAAACGTGGGCTCTCCGATGGGGCCATTTTTGCCTTGTTCGGTCCGACATTCGTGTGCGCAAGTCGCGCTCGCACCCAAGTTCAAGGTCTGAAGGCCACTTCGGTTCGTATTTTGCACCCCCTCTACGCGCGTACGTAGAGAGAGTCTCTATGTTACACATGATTACACATCTCCAAAGCATAACCATATATAAAGTGGTTTAAATTTCCTTGGTTTTCCTATGCGGGATAAATGCATTTTTTTACCACAAAATCAACTTCCAATGACCAACTTTGAGTTTTAATTTCTCATTCACCCGAGCTTCATTTTGGCAAATAAATACATGAAATCGATGTCTTCGCAGAGGAGAACACATATCAACTTTGATATTCCACATTGGACCAACGGGTCCCATCAAAAATTGTGTCAAAATTGAGCCGCTCACTCAATTTTTTCCAACAATAAGCAGTACTCGAGGTAGAAAAAAATTAATTGTTTTTGTTTTATTGTCTGTTTATTGAATTGTTACTCGTAAACCAATACCATTAAATTAACTCGCTTCTTGTATTTTTGTTGAAAAGGTTGTCTTACCAAAGTTGAAATGATCAAATTTTACTGAAATTTCCAACAGGTTGCAAACAAATTGTTGGTCCGGAAAATAGTTCTGAATAAATTAAAGGTCAACTACAAAAAATTCTTTCAATCCATTATTCAATTTACCATTATACTTATTAAATTTAACATCAACTAAGTAGATTTCTTTCACCGATTCATTCAGTTCATTACTTAATTTTTAAAAGATACAAAGTAACTAAAATTTAGCGACTGCAATAGTTTTCTCTCTTTCTTCCTTTTTTCCCCATCTTTCGACCTCTAATCTTGTGAATATCCTAATTGTAAACTTTAAATAATTTTCTGTGATATATTATCAAAGGAACCTATTGAAACTAATCGACTATATTTCAGCAGTGATTTGCTGGGATTTACAGGAGTTTAAATTCATTATCATTATCACATGAGAAGTCCTGGAATCAATGGAGTTGGCTTCTGTTGTATCTAATCCAGAGATCTTTGATATATGGTTAAGATCCTCTCCTACACTAATCAATAAAAGGTATAAACCTAGTTTTTGATTGTTAAGTTGCAAAGAGGAATAGGTCACTAGTCAAGACTAATAATACAAAACAAATGAGTGGGATGTGAGAAAACAAATAATATATTTAGCATGTTAAATGGGTCGGGTCATTCATCGGAGAAAAACTTTGGTGAGACAGTCGCACCATCCTACATGGTGTGGTGCGACCGCCGAATGGAAAGTCACCACTTCATCGGGTGGCCCATCCTCACGCAATGATGTGAGGGCACCTTGGGACCTGATTTTTTCTTTCTTTGCACCTCAAGTCTCAAGATGGCCTCACCTCATTAGGTGAGAGGGGCCATCCGATGAGGTGGTGGCTTCTCATTCGACGGTGCACTATGTAGAATGATGTGACTGTCGCACCAAAGTTTTTCTCCACTTATTAAGCCAGATAGAAAAGAAACATAAAAACATAAATAATAATTTTAGCACATCAGATTAAATGAGTCATTCTATATATATATTGTTTTTAATCTTAATATTTTCTTGGTTAGGGAACTAAACCGAGTCATATTGCACAATGCCATTGTCAGTACTCAAGTTACTTCGAATCTGGGTGACATATTCATTACTACGAACTTGTGTGAAATTAAGAGGTTCGAACCGACTAATACGGAAGAAATAGCACATAATTCCTAGTTAGCAGTTATACGCCACTAAAATTCAAAGATGTTGAAAATGTAGTTATGTAGAGAGTTTCTAGCGGCATGTGATGTGAGATAGAATTGAAGCATTTGAATTCAATCCCAATAATTCGGCTGAGATCCAGCAATCACTAATCATCTTCGCAATGCTCGCCGGAAAAATAGTGCCAGAATATACTGTAAGTACTCTATCCAAGCTACTTAGGCTAGAATCTAGACGCACCACCCCTATTAAGAAATCCTAACATCAATTAGGCAGAATACATGCATGTCTTTCCTTAAAAGAAGGAATTTCTTGTTACGAATGTTACAACATATATAGCCCAACAGTTCTCTCCATTTTCAATCTTGTGACATCCCTTATTTCATATGGCCACCTCCACACTCAAACTTACAACCCTTCTCTCTCTTACTCTCTCTCTACTTCTAACCCTGCATTCTCCAACATCATTTTCTTTTGCTAGTGAAGATGACGATGAAGAATACTTACTCGACACCCCATTCGAGAACACGCGATTGAGAAGCCGATTCTTGGCGAATATCAAAAAGGGCACGAGGTGTGATGCAGCGAAGAATAATGTGTGTAATGGGATATCGGCAAGCAAAGGAGAAGGCCTTCTTTTTTGCTGCAAGAAGCACTGCCGGAACGTGTTAAGCGACAAAAATAATTGTGGAATTTGTGGGCACAAATGTAAACTAGGAGAGCGTTGCTGCCATGGAACTTGCACCAATGTTTTCTACAACCCTACAAACTGTGGCAAGTGTGATAAAATGTGTTCTTCGGGGGTCAAGTGTCAGTATGGATATTGTGGGTATGCTTAAAAGAAAATTGTCGAAAAAATATTTTTTTTTTCTAAAACTTAAAATGGTAAATAAAGATTTTACCAAATGCTTTTGGTTGAGAGAAGTTAGATATATTTTGCATACGATTTGAGTCAAGTATTTTTCATGCAATTTACATGTATCGCTCAAATTATATCAACTGTAAATTATAGATTTCTGACAACTCCTTCACTTACCAACATTCTTCATTAACTCGATATTATATAGCTGGTTCTCATCATTGTTTCCTTCCAATATGCAAAAATAAGTTTAGATTATCTACACTAAAGTGTGGATATATGAGAAACGTATCATTTCAACTTTTAATCCTTGCATATTAATGCGTTTGATAATAATACCCCTAGTTATAAATGTACTGTAATGTTAAGAATTTAGAATTAAATTATAACTCCAAAAATATGTAATCATACTGTAGAATTATAATAAGAATGATGATATATTAATTTAAATGTGTCTATATTATAATGGTACAAATAATTGCACCAAAAAATGAAAATTAAGGATTCAAATTGCATTTATACGGTTATAAGGTTATCAGAACCAATTAGCTAACCATTTTGTAGAATGGTTCAAATTCCTATCATTACATATTTTGTGTAGATCCTCTCTCTACCTTTTTCTTTTTCTTCTTTTTGTTCAAACCATTTTGTCAGTTTTGGTTTTGTAATTTCATTCTATATTTTAACATTTTTATCTCTATCATCATTCATGAAAATGTTAAACGGTTTCTCGAATTTGATGGTTTATTTTGTTGTTTTCGTAGTGATGATATGTAACTTGAGGTAGTCGATTAACAGTTCAAGGAACAAATTTGACGATGTAAGTGTAGCTTTGATGACTGAAAATATTGGGACTATATTAGGAAAGAAATCGAGTTTAGGGAGTATCTATGATGAGTGATGTTATTTATCATCGTCATGATAATACATCAGCAATATGTCAATTCATTATTCCTCACATTTCTCTCTCTCTCTCTCGAAACGTCTCCTTCTCTTCTCTCGTAAAAATTGAATTGCCCAATCCCATTATTCCACATGGACCGCCACATCACTGATGTTTCATCATCATATGATAAATAGCATTATTCACCTATGATGGATATGCTTAGATGGTACTGTGTTAGTTTCTCAAACTTATCTGTCTTCAAAGTATAGAGTTAAAACTGTAATACATGCACCAGTATATCATTCTATCCACATTATGGCCATTATTTTCATGCACTATAATACATCCAAAGCAATATATTTTCATCCTATGATACGGCTACACATACATATCAGTTCGAATAAAACAAGATATCGCTAATAATCTACGATAAGTCAAAATTTGAAATATACCGAACAAAGAAAACATGTGTGGTTCTACCAACATATGAAATTTTACCCGTTTATAAAATGCCCAAAACCGGGATAGCTTCTTGTTACTGATATAGACCTAGTCCCCTCGAGATAATCAAAAAGATAGGCTTCATCTTCCATTATACACTACTTTTAGCATCTCAAAGAAGATAGTTATACCCAACTGCCAGAAGTATAAGAAGCACCAAAGCAGCCCATATCCAATAGTTCGTCACCTTTTTACGTTTGAGCATAACTTTCTGAAGTGAATCTGGACCTTTTGGACGTGTTCTATGCCTGATGGTATTTTCTGTCCTATCCTTGTTCTTTGGTAGAACCAGAGTTTCAACTTTTTCCTCAGTGTTTTCCAGTTCAGCGACCTCTGCAACTGCTTCAGTCGGTTCCTCAGAATCCTGAGCAGCAACAGCAGCTCCGGCCTTCTTTTTTGCTCTCTTCTCACGCTCCTGCAATAAATAAATAGCAAAACCAGGATAAGGGCTTGTTCGACATGACTTTTAAAAAGCCAAAAGGAGCTTATGAGACTAAGAAGTTGCTATGGATAATTTTTCGTAAGTGTTTGGTTTGGTTAGAAGAGCATGTGGAGGAAGCCTCCTGAAGCCCTTCTACCAAAAGCAAAAGCTATCCCAAACATGCTCTCAGTCAGTCTAAAGCTAGTAAGAAAATTCAAACTAAAATTTGAAAACAATAGGAAAAAATGATTTCCTTAAGCTTCTTTTCAGCCTCTTTCTGAGCTTTTATTGCTGCTTTTGCGGCTGCTTTCTCTGCCAACTTCTTCTTCCTTTCCATTGCCATTTTCATCTTAGCTGTCTCTTCTTCTCGCCTTATCTCCTTCAACTTTTTCTCATCTAATTCCTTCATTATTGGAGGAGAATCCTTTTGCAGTTTTTCCATTCCAAGGACTCCTTCCCCTGTGTTTTCCCAGTCAATTTTCTCTATGATACTTTCAGTCCTATCATTTGCTTCCTGCTGCTGTCTAGAATTATTTTCTTTCTGAACTTTCTGCTCGGTAGCAGTATCATTTTGTGCCACCAGGGGAACTGTATCCTCCTTGCTAGGCTGTTTAACATTTGTTTTCACAACTGACTCACCTCCTGAAGGGGCTGATGCATCTAATGACACCAGTGGCTTTTCATCGGGATTCCTTATACGTGCATCCCTACCCAGTTGTCGAACGTCAAGTGATGGTAATATTCTTCTAACATAGTCATCCCTAAAGAACTTATTACTGCTCCAGAGGGATATGAACTTCCCAGCCTTCATAAAAAAATAGAATAATTGTCAAAAAATCGAACGAAAGTATCATAGTGATTCAGAACTCAACAGAGAAAATTATCCACAATACCTCCATCTCTGAAAGCTCCTTCAGGGCTTCAACATCCTTCTTAGCAGCCAGATCTCTGGCATTGATCAACAGTGTACGGTTTTGGTAATAAGTGGAGTTCTGAGAGTAAAAGATTAAACTTTCACAGATTTTATGTATAAATTTTAATTTTCCCTCATCAGCTTAAATAAAAACAAAGAACAATATCACTTAAACAGTATGAAGGCAACAAGGTATAATTTTACAACAACAACTACTATCATAAATGTCCCTACAAAAGTTTCCAACAACTTCTAATTCAAACTGAGTAATCACACAAACTCTCTTCCCCGCAAGTCTTGTAGACTGAGAATAAATTCAGCACTAAAATTGCTGGTTCATATGGAAAATTAAACAAGGTGCAGAACACTAAAATGAAATAAGAAAAGTTATTTCTGTCATGGTAATACTTTACTAAATCGCAGAAGGTAACTTGGAATTACATAAAAAATCACTTGGCATAATTACATGATATATTACTCGTGTCGTAGGTTGCACTCCAAATGAAAGTGTAATACTATTCGGGCCATATGAATTTCTCTTTTTAATGAAAACAGAGAATGAAGCAAGATAGCATCTGACTTAAGGACCTCCATGGCCTAAGTAAACCTTAGGGGACCTTAAAGACGTCAAGTCTCTTCCATTTATACGCATTTAGTACCAGACTTGTGCCAATTGCTTTGTATGCAATTTTAAAGTCAGACAATTAAAAAATAAATAAATAAATCACACCCCTTGTAATGGTATTATTAATACTTTCAAACAATACAAATCAAGTCTTGAATACTTTTAACTAACTTAAAATGATAGAATTATTATCATAATTAAAAACAAGGGCTAAATATGAAAAAATACATACACTTTCTTCGCGCTGTTTCCTAATTTCCTGAATGTTTACAAAAGTTTTGTCCCGCTTCTCAGCAACTGCTGCCAACTCCTCCTGCAACGCATTGATCTCTTTCTCTAGAAACTCCTTTTCTTCATCAAGTTGCTTAAGTTTCGCCTTAACCACTAGTTGTTCCTTCCGAACTCCATCGAGATCAACACCTATAAGCTACAATCATATATCTATGAGCATACCTTTATGTTATTTACATATTAAATAGCCATTGAGTAATTTTGGCGAGAAAAAAAATATAAGGCACCAAATCGTAGAGATTTTTAATAAATAGCATCTTACTTTGACCTGGTCCTGAATGGCCTCTTTTTCACCCAATGAGTCCTGAATCTTTGCCCTTTCAGCAGCATTTGCAATGACCTTGCCCCGTGTACCTTCGAGTTGTTTAATTTCCCTAAGGATTTGCTTCTCTTCGTTTAGAGGAATACTTTCATGTTGGATGCGGTATTCCAAACTTTTGATCTAATCAATAAAAAATTGCTAATAGATTGAATATTAGCTACGTAAGACAAAAACACTTTCAGAGCAAAAAGAAATGGTACAAAGCTTACAAGATTATTGAGCTCCTCCTCCGATGAACATATAGCAGAACCCCTCTCTCTATTATCACTATTAACACCCCGCAATTTGCCAAGAGCTTGCTGCAGAGGTTCCATTTCTTTTCTCTTCTCATCCATGATCATCCTAAACTGTTTGTTATCAACACCTAGAGACTTTAATTGAGTGATTACATGGGTCCGGTCTGCCTGCACATTCTCTTCTATCACTTAGTGCTCACTTTAAAAGATTCCATTGTTCAAAACTAATCAAGTTCATTACAGTTATTCTAAAAGATGAACATGTAAAAATATCACAGTAACAATGTAGGATCAAACAAGATGGATGCAGGTTATATTAAATCAACATGAGTCACAGATTTTCTATAATTGAGCAAGGACAGACAGCAAGTTCGCAGTGCATGACTTACAAACATCCATTGGGCGAAAGAAAAAGAAAATAACAGAAGTTCTACTCTTAATCTAAATCTATATGTAAATGGGGAATAACCTCTTAGAGAAAAGGGAAAAAATAGAATAAATAATAATAGATTGATTGACAATGAACCACTTCAAATGTAGGTCTGAAAACATTAAACAACAGTTACCCATATCATAACAGCTCAATTTCTCATGTAGTTTTCACATATTTTGCGACATTCCTTTGGGTCTGATCGCATTTACATGGTTATCTTGTCGTCAAATTTAAAGAAAACCTGGGTTCAGAATGCTGAATCAAAACAGTAACCCTACCAATCTTATTTAGCATCATTAAGAAAATCCTTCTCAATTAATCTCGGATCTATGTAATTCAAGGATCATAAACAATGCAAAAACATGGACATTATTGAACAATAGCTTTTCAAATATTTTTATGAAGTTCAGACTTACCATTATGGATGGCTTAAGTACTCCCTCGGTCCCATTTATATAGGCTGACCTTCATTATTTTCTCGTTTCAATTATATATTCCTATTTCTTTATTGAGCTTGTTTTGCTTTGTTCATTTACTAATATACCATTATTTAATTTGCCAAGTTATAACCAATTTTTCCACTTAATCTTGAAATTGTACAAATATAAATAAGGGTAAACTAGGAAACTTGTTGGCAAAAATTGCCTTTTCAATGACATTAAATAAGAGTTCTTAATCCGTGTGCAAAACAAAACAAGCATTTATATTTGGGAAGTAGGGAGTATGATCTTGTTCCATATTACAATGAATTGTTATATAGCCCATGTTTGAGCCACATTCTAGGAAAAAATACATTATTCATGTCAAATCAATGAGTGTGGTTAAAAAATAAAGAAAAGTTGTAGAATTGCATGTAATATTATTTTATTGAAGAATGTATGGTCGAAATGCTGTCAAATCACTGTTGAAAAATGTATTTTTTTGAAAATAATATGGCTCAAACAAGCCATTAAATTTAAAAAGGACCGTTTGCATGTATTAAACATTATTATATAGAAGAATATGTAAAGTTACTGTTTAAGAGTAATCGCGTATTTATGAAAATTGTAGCATTTCACATACCAAGAAAAAATGCAAACACACAAAACTGAATCGTCCTTACAGGGAAAAGAATACTCTATATCTTACCCTTATTGCCTTTAACTTTTCAGTAATTTGAAATCGTGCCTGGTTCTTAGTCTTAAGCTCTTTTTCCGCCAGATCCAATTTCACCTTCATCTTCTGGTCTTCAAGTGAACGATACTTTACAATATAGAAAGAATGGATCTGTTGGGGTTCTGGCCACTCGTCAACAGCATCTGTGGGGATGTTGGCCTCAAAAACTTTGTTCTCTTCCCCTTTGGCTTGTTCATCCATACTGTGAGAACCAAATTTTATGTTCACTTTTCTGTTTTCCACAGCGAAATTTTCTTCAGTTTTGATTTCCAAGGAAATTAAATTTAAAAAGGACCGTTTGCATGTATTAAACATTATTATATAGAAGAATATGTAAAGTTACTGTTTAAGAGTAATCGCGTATTTATGAAAATTGTAGCATTTCACATACCAAGAAAAAATGCAAACACACAAAACTGAATCGTCCTTACAGGGAAAAGAATACTCTATATCTTACCCTTATTGCCTTTAACTTTTCAGTAATTTGAAATCGTGCCTGGTTCTTAGTCTTAAGCTCTTTTTCCGCCAGATCCAATTTCACCTTCATCTTCTGGTCTTCAAGTGAACGATACTTTACAATATAGAAAGAATGGATCTGTTGGGGTTCTGGCCACTCGTCAACAGCATCTGTGGGGATGTTGGCCTCAAAAACTTTGTTCTCTTCCCCTTTGGCTTGTTCATCCATACTGTGAGAGCCAAATTTTATGTTCACTTTTCTGTTTTCCACAGCGAAATTTTCTTCAGTTTTGATTTCCAAGGAAGCAGCCTCCGCACCCATTATTTAAATGATTGCTACCACAAAAATAGTAAAATCTCAAACCCTGATAAACAAGCAAAACAAATTATCGATCAGTTTATGAAATCATCCCTGCATTAACAACAAAAATCCTTTGACGAAGAATAACCCCTTATTAGATAACAAAATCAATTCAAATAAACTGATTGCTAAACCTACAGTACTAAATTTATTTCAGTGCAATCAACTAATCCATCAATGTCTATCTATTTACCAGTTAAACCCATCAAACATTCAACTTTTTTCTAAATTTCATGAATAAATCTGTGAATCAGGAAGCATAACAAGAAAACCAGTACCACCAATTACCAAACTATCACACGAAAATTGACTTCATTCGAACTTAAAAAGACTCAGATGTCATCAACATGAATACACAGATATGAACTCGTCAAAGATTGGAAATTTGGAAACACATAAGAGATGCCATATCACAAAAGTTCAAGAATTGAACAAATCCTCAGAATTATATCAGAACAATAATTTTCTAGATCTAGATAACACATGAAAATGCAGTATTCTCACAAAGAAGCATAAAAACCATTCTAAAACACAAAGATTAAATCTTTAACAACAAAAAAGTCAACCCATTATTTTTTTCCTATTAAAAGAAATAATTAGATCGAGAGTACCTTAAAAAGTATCGAGATCAGTACAGATCAAACAGGAAAAAATGAATAAAGCAAATCGAAAGCATAAATGACAAAAAAAAAAAAAAATCTAGAAAGGAAACAGGGTAGGAAAAATGGAGAGAAAATTAAGGGGATGTTGGACTAAAAAGAAGCAAAAATAAAGGATAACTTACAAGGAACAGAGGTAGAGAATTAATGGAGACTCCTTTTGACAAGACCGTCGAGAGGAAGGAGACCCCAGATCTTTGCTTCTTTAAGAGATGCGGGATGAGGAAAATACATGGAAATGACCCAACTAGAAGATGTCATTTTTCAAGTTGGCCCTTGAATTTTTCAAATATTTGTAACTACTTAAAATATTCTTAAATAAATATTAAAAATAACTTATTTCATAATAAAAATCTTCTATCTAAATCTTTAAAAAATTAACAAGTAATTTTTTTAAAAATTTGAAAGAATTATTAATGAATAATTATAAAATAAAAAAATTCAAATATAAGAGAGGACCATATAATATAAGAAATGTTGCTAAAAATAAAAAAAATTTAATTTTAAAAAAGAAATTGATAAGATAGGATATCAAGAATAATTATATACATCACAAGAAATATTAAAATATTTTAAAGAAAACTTATTAGAAAATTTTGCTAAAAGAATTGCAAGATCAATAATCATAAAAGATATACAAGATATCATAGATAAATTAGAAAAAATGAAGAAAAATATCTCAAAATACGATATATCTTTTAGAACAGACATAGATATGATAACAAATATTGATATTATAAATTCTCAGACATTATTAGACTTTGAAAATTTACTTAAAATTTTATGAGAAGACCAATAAAAAATAGATTACCACAAGCATATAAAAAATTAGTTTTTAACCTTACCTTAAGATTTTATATACGCTTAATAACAAATAAATTAACTAAAACAAAAATAATAGAATTTTAAGAATATTAGAATAATAGATTTTTAGATTTGTGATTATTAGATTATTAGCATCCAGTTGATATCAGAGCCATATAGATCATGAAAATCATAAAAATAAATAATTATTATCAATGTATTGAAGAAAAAGGTTATTGTATATTTTTTAACCCTATCCCTAATAAATTAAAAATAATAACATTATATGTAACCAGGAATTTACCTAGAGAAATAAAGGAACAAATATTACATAAATTAATTGTAGAATTTATTAAAGATAGACGTACATATGAAATAATTATCGAAGTATTTGAAAATGAATTATACTATAGAGAAATATTTAATCATCATAAAAATATTATGGAAGAAGCTAAAAATATTTTAAAAAGAAAGTTGAGAAGAATAAGATTAATAAATAATAAAATTTTAGATGAATTATTAATACCCGGAGATATAACTAAAACTCAAGAAAAACAAATATTAAAATTAAAACAAGAAAGATATAAAGAAAAAGCAAGATATTATGAAAATTTAAAAGAATTAACAAATATTGAAGTTATAAAATGAAAGTATGATAAAATGATAAGAGATTGTAAAAATGCTGAGTATATAGCATTTTATTATTGTCAATCAAAAAATCGATAAAAGAAAATGTCAATCAGTGAACATATGGAATAATTAAAACATTTAATAAGAACATTAATAAATAATGTACAAGAGATAAAGAATGAAATAAAAGAAGTAAGAAATGATATAAATATATTGAAACTTGAAGTCAGAAAATTAAAAGAAAATGAAGAAAAGAATAATATAATAGATAAAAAATTTATAGAAAAAGAAATAATCAGAATAGGAAAAAAACATATTGAAAGAAAAAATATAATTATAGAAACAAGAAGCATGGATGATGAATTTAGAAAAAAATATATTACCTAAAATATTAGAAGAAGAGGAATCTAGAGAAAAAAATGTTAGGTAAACAAAAAATTGAAGAAAATCAAGACAAAGAAAATGAATGAAGAATTAGATCTACTTATAGATAATTTTGATCATTTAAACTTAAAAAGTATAGATGATGAATATCAAATCTTAATGAATACTGAAGGAGGATCTAATCCAGTAGAAACCTCTAAACCAGAATCAATAGATCCAGATGAAAGTTATGCTCCAATGTATAATAAACTATATAGACAATTTTATGATAAAATAAGAGAAAAACAATCATCTAAACGAAATAAATATAGTAATAGATTTGAATTAAATAATAATTATGATAAACCCGTTAACCATGGAGGAACAAAATTAGACTTAGATTGCAAAATAGATACTAAGAAAGCCTTAATAAATTGAGCAGACTCAATGATATTATTCTTTTGATATAATAAAGATGATACATGGAAAAATACTGAAAGGAGAATAGATTTTTTAATTGCATCTTTTGAAGAAAATGTTAGAAATTGGTAGGAAGGAATTAATAGTGATACAAAATTATTAATAAAAAGAAATGTACAAACAGAAATAATAAAGTCAAATAAACTAGGAATAGAAAGATTAGTAGAATATATTGCAGATGAATTCTTAGGAAAAATTGGTTAAGAAATTATGAAGAAGAAGCAATACGAAAAAAAGATAATGCAAGAGTTAAGTTAATTAATTTAACAATTTGTGATATGTGTAAAATTAAAGAATATACTTGTGAATTCAAGGAATACTATTATACTCAATTTTATAGTAATGAGAATCAAGAAATATATCAAGATATGTATTATAATAAATTACCAGGTTCATGGGAAATATATTTTAAAATAAAATTTGAAAAATATATTAAAGAAAATATAGGAATACATAGAACATTAGGATCAAGAATAAAATTCTTATTTGAAAGACTTGCATATATATGTCAACAAAGACAATTATTGAAAAAATTAGGAAAATTAATTAGAATATGTTGTGAAGATATGGAAAACCTACAAGATGGGGATGTAATTCTGAAAAAAGAAATAAAAGAAAATATAAAAACAGAAAGTTTAAAAAATATAGAAATTTTAAGAAAAAATACATAAAACCTGGAAGGAAATATTATAGAAGGAAAAATAATATACAGAAAAATAAACCTTATAAGAAAGATAAAAAAACAATGTAAGTGTTGGAATTATAGAGAAATATGCCATATAAGTCCTGATTGCACAAAGAAAAAAGTGAAAATATTACAAAAAGATTATTTTGAAATAAAAAGTGAATTAAGTGAAATATCTTATATTGAACATTATAATAATCAGGAAGTACTTATAAGTGAAGCAGATTCAGAAGATTATGGATCAGAATCTAAATAGAGAAATTGAAGAAATAGAAAATAATAACATAGAAATTCAAGAATATGAGGGAATAGAAGATTATGGATTAAAAGTAACTTTTGATAATAATAAATTTAAGAAAATGCAAAAGTTATCCTTAGATTTGAAAATAGGAAAATAGGAAATTCTAGATAGAATATGGAGAAGAGAAAGAATAGTAATAAATGAATACCATAAGATTGAAAAGACTATAGATGTCAGGACTACTCAAGGAACACATAAAATAAACTTTTTAACAAAAAGTACAGTATCATAATTATTATAAAAAATAAGTAAAAAATATAGTGAAAAGATCCAATATGTTTATTTAGCAGGAATACAAATAATGTTTAAATCTTTATTTAGGGAAGGAATAGATTCATCATTAACTGTAAGTTTACATGATGGAAGAATTATAAATCTGGAAGACGATCATTTAGGAACTATAGAAGGAAACTTAGCATATCAAAAGTTAATATTTACTTGTTACTTAAAATATTGTGTCTCATTGAAAGATAAAAACTTTAATGAAGTCTTAAGATTATATTTCAAATTACATAGAAATGATATAATGGAACCAGGAGACCAAATTATGACTATGGAATATGGGGCATTATATACATTTACTAATTCTAATTATGGGAATATTTATTCTAATAAACCATACATAAAAATTCATAAGGAATGTAAGGATATTAGTAAAATAGTGAAACCAAACAAACAAATAAATCTTATTCCAAAAGAGTATGAATTTAATATAACTAAAAATAAGCCTGAAATAACAGAGTTAAGAAAAAAAGAAGATTATAAAATAACATTTCATAATGGAAGGTTGATAAAGAAATCAAAAAGTCTTAGACGACCTAATAAAAAAGAATATTCAGGAGAAACTAGTAGTATAAAAGAAATAAAACCTCATTAAATATGAAAATAGAAGGAAAATATTTCAACGGTAGAATGTATATAAAAGGACCAAATATATTGATAGATATAAGTGCTGGTGAATGTCATATGGCTGCAACTAAAAATGAAGGATTAATAATTTACAAAACAGAACCATATAAATACAAGAATTTTGATGGACAACTATATATTATAGAATTAAAAGTAAAGGTACCAATAAAAATAGGTGTGTTTGATCTTTTAGTACCATGTTATTTAGATGAAAGTATGGATATTGAACCTTATATATTATTAGGAATGAGTTTCTTAAATGGATTAGAAGATTATAGTATAAAAAGAGAAGGATTATATATAACTCACAAACTACATTATGTAAAATAGGAAGTGGATGAATAATCAAATAAGTTTTCCATTAACAGTATATATACAAGTTACTATAGTAGAAACAAATATAACGACTCGTGTCTTAATTGATACAGGAAGTGATATAACAATTTTTAAACATTTCTTAATAAAATCATGGAATAAAAATAGTAAAATAAAAATAACAGGAGTGATTGGAGAAAGCACTCAAATAATTGATAGTGCTGAAAAAGTTAATATAATACTTGGTAGTAAACAAGTTATAATAAATAAAGTATATAATTATAATAAATTAGAATGTGATATATTATTAGAAAATGATTTTATCCAACAATTTCAATATTGTAAACAAAATAATTACATGATAATGTTACAAATACCTTGTGCACATCTATTAAAAATACCAAGAGAATTTAGACCCTACAGAGTTCAGCCAACCCAACGTGGTGATAAATGGGAAAAACGACCAATAGTACAAGATGAACTAAAAAATAAAAAATTATCATATAAAAAGATCCTAAAAACAGAAATAGAAATAAGTATGGAAAAAATCATAGAACAATTAGAAAAAATTTATGGAGAAAACCCATTATTATTTTGGAAACCATATC